TCATTTATTATCAAGTAGCTTCCTCTAACGATAACTTCTAATATAAACATTTGTTGCTTTTTTCATAGAATTGCATCTTTTTGGTGTTGGCAATCATAACTGTTAGTTCCATACTTCTTAGGTAAAGGCCTGGAATTTATGTATCCATCTAAATAATGTAATGTGTTCCAAGTTTATCTCACCCTTATTTGGTAAGATGTTTTGCTAGTTAGTGTCCGTGTTTTTTATAACATTCTTTGATATGCTGTACTTCTCTATGTTTCTGTTATCTACTTGGAGTCATATATTTCTCATTTTTCTATGTAATAATTTACATGTTAAATAAACTGTTTCTTGAACTTAGTATTTGCATTATAGCAAATGTTTCAGTCCTGTAACAATATAACTCTTTTCATGCCTTGTACAAATACTGCTGAATATTGCAGGTGTAGGTGGTTTCTTATGTTCTGAATTAACTGGTTCTCAGTAATGTCATTTTTCCAACTCATATGATATAGATGTTGAGTCTCCCAATTGATTCATCTTTTGTCCTCTGATAATAAGCTTCTGGTAAAGTGGCTTGAAAAAAAATCTCCAAACACTTAAAGTAAGTTCCTTGACAATGTAATCTCTCGTCTCTCATTATCCTTCCCAGTTATTCAGCATGATGTATTCTTTATATTTGTTGGCAGCCTCTCCATGTGGCTATCAGTGAGAAAAAAGTTGACTGTTTATTTCCCATAATGTTTTTCTCTAGGTCAAAGAATTTCACCTGCTTTTATTTCCCAATACTCTGACAATGTTCTTCAATGTGTTCACCGTTTCTTGCAATACTAGCAGTAGTTTACACAATATAATGGCATTAATGTACATAGTTTGTCACAAGATGTCATCATTTTTTTTGCATTTTTTTATTGTAGTCTACGTTTTGTAAGTACTAATAAGGCTTCCTTGCATGTCATAGATTTTATAAATACATCTTTTTTTTGGGGGGGGGTAACCTCATCACTAAATTGTCCTCTAAGCTGTCATGTACATCCTTAAAATGTTGCTTGGTTTTGTAAGTAGTCATCTTGTTCAGGTTTGTAACAATGATTCATCATGTTCCAGTCTGTTAACACTTATACATTACATTTTATCATACAAAATGTATCTAACTTGTGACATTCCAAGCAATACAGCCTCAATGTGTTGTTTATTTACTGTAGTATAACATATTTTTGTTCATTTATTGTGAGTAGAAAAATGTCAGTCATTCAAGAAGAATATTTGTCCTTCTCTCTTCATTATATGTTTCACAGTGTTTTATTTAATCACAACTATTAGTATTTAGTCACTATCTCTGTTTTTTTTTACTTTATTTAAACATTCTTCTTGTCTTTGTTGAATTATTAAAAAAACGGGTATTTTATCATAAAAAGTACATTTTCTCTGACATATTTTTCCACACTCCAGGTGGTAGCTATATTAGAGAAAACCACAAGTCTGAGAATTTATTTACAGTTCTTTTAAACTTTTTTTTTATCCTGAAAAGGTGTGTATTTGTTTGAAAGCTGTAGGAGTCTGCTGTGGTAAGACATCAGATAAGCCTAGTTAGATTTAGAGAGAACATTAGGTAACACCAAAATATCCCAATGACTCATATGTGACTATATTCCATATTAATTAAATATTATTGTTAACTTCATCATATTATTCTTTCTTGAAAATATCTAGCATGATCTGACATCATTGTGGTAGCTTTATTTGATCATTAGTCAGCTCATAAGTTTGAAGGTGTACTTTTTTCAAAAATTAAAATTTCAATTTCACTGTATAGCTTACTTCTAGTATTAAATATTTATTTGGAAGTTCTGTGTGAATTACCAACTATTAAAACATTTTATTCTCGTTGCTCTTCTCTCAAACAATCTGGTGACATGTCCTTGAAAACCACACTTAAAATATTTAACACTATTTCATTTATTCTGCTGTTTTAGCTTACTGTTGGGCTAAAAAAAATTCTACTTTGATCTCACAACAGCTTGAGTTAAAGGTTTTTGGTATAATTGTTTCTGATTATTGTGTAATGCCCTAACTTTGGTTCCAGACAATGATAGTATGATTATTCCCATAAAGGATATCTTCTACAGTTGTAAATAAAAATATTCCCCCCTCCCCACCATGATTCATGTTTATTTATGTACATTGAAATAATTTTTTGATGAGAAGTACTTCAAACAATCTCCATATTATTGACACATGAATAAATGGTACTTGACTGATAATTAATATGGTATATATAACAAGTTGTTTTCTTGGAGAATAAAACAGAGTTAAATGTTTAGGGCTTACTTTTCTGTTAGCTGATGCAAAACACCTCAATATGAATTAATTGGATTCATTTACACATAATTTATGCTCTCAACAAATTAATATTCTTGGTATGTTTAAAATGCTTTAGCAATAATTGAGAATGTCTGATCAAAAGTAAGCTAAGTTTATAAATCAGAATCAAAATAATTCAAAAATGGCATATGCAGCAGTGAAGACAATATTGTATAAAAAGAAATGAAGAAATACTTAATATTATGAACCAGTACACCAGAAAAGTAAAAGTTACATTTGTGTAAAGTTTGAGAGATGTAGGTTATCTTATGTCAAATTATGACTCTCCAGAGATGTTTCTAAGTTTCCCATATTTATTGATATGAGATTGCCTTACAACTTTAGAAAACACAGTATTAAGTTTGTTAGGAATTAAAAGGACTAGCACAAGGCTTTGGGAAGTGTAAATCACAGAAGGCTTTATGGAAAATTTCTTAAGGTGGTTATTTGCAATTTCATTCATTATTTTGTGATACAGACCATTATGTAGGTAAGAATCAGCTGTTAGAGAATAGGAGCACTTAAAAAATCCTTCATTTGTTCAACCACCTCATTAAACTTGTGCCCACATTTTTTTAAATTCAGAAATAGAGAAAACAATTTTCTTGTTATTCTGATGTAAATCAGTATAAAATAACTTTTCTTGTTATTTGGAGAAACCAAATTATAAACTATGTGTAAAATTGTCAGTAATCTCTTTAAAAGGACAGTCAAACCTTGTGAGAAAACATCTCTACACATTTCCCATAATGGCTCAAATGAACAAATTTTCTCAGCCTAGTGCTTGTCCCTTTAACAGTGGTTCTCTAGTGGCTCATGGGTAAGTTTGAGGACTGATTATGCTATAAATTTAGTTTTGATATCTGTGGTAGGTACTACACAGACAGCCCCTTGTGTAGCTTTGTGCTTAACACCAAACAAAACTTTAAGAGTGAACTTAGATAGCTTATAGAATTTGAAGGGAAAATATTTTAAGGATGAACAGGAGTAACATGTATCAGTTTAACATTAGGCTAATATCATTTATACTGGCCAGGCATGGCCAGATGGTTAGGGAGCTTGACTTGCAATCTGAGGATCACGGGTTTGATTCCTTGTCCCACCAAATATGCTTGCCCTTTCAACTGTGGGTATGTTACAATGTGACAGTCAATCCCACTATTCATTAATAAAAGAGTAGCCCAAGAGTAGGTGGTGATGACTAGCTGCCTTCTCTCTAGGCTTTCACTGCTAAATTAGGGATGGCTAATGCAGATAGTCATCATGTAGCTTTGCATGAAATTAATAACAAACATTAATTATACTTAAAGAATAGAGGTAGTATTAAAGGTTTTAGTTTGTAATACAACACATCTTGTAGATTAGAAACTGAAAAAACAATTTAAAGTTTAACTGGTTTTTAAATTATAGCTAAAAGTATTTTTAATGTTAGATGGATGTGGACTTGAGAAGTTTATCATTTATTGTACATAAGTTCTAAATTTGCTCCAGAAAATTTATGTTTGTTTTATTGTGGCCTCAACAGCTAGTTAGAATGCTGACCACATATTAAACAAAAAGTATTTCTAGTGTTTATTGCATATGGTGACAGAATTAATTAGACAGAGGACAAAAGTTTTAAGATTTGGAAAATGCAAAGTAGGCTTCTATTAAGATAGTTTCATTTTTTTAATGAGGTAATTGACTTATGAAATGAATTGCCATTGGTAGTAGTGAAGGCCAGCACTTTATAAGTGTCTAAGAAAGGTATTGATGATTTCCAAAGACATAAAAGGAGAGTTTAAGATTTTACTTTTCTGAAGGGTGATTGTACAAGAATGGCATTGAAGGTTCAAATTATTTTTTTGTTATCCATATGTTATATATGAGTGTATAAATGAATATATCTAGTCAAATCTTCACTTATTTCATGTGTTTGCCATTCTTCAATGAGAATACAATTTATTTCTTTTTAAATGTAAGATACGAAGTTCATGACAGGGTAGTTTGAAAAATAATGTTTTTATTGACTGAAATGCTTTTTTGTTTTCCATTTCATAAATTGTAGTTTTGCTAAACATTTGCATCTTTAATTTTTTTATGTAAAACAGAATTTATTAAATCTGGATATTAAATTTTGTGGAAACAGGGATTTAAATGTAAGAAATAACATGTTCAATACTTTTTTAACTTACTTGATAAGTAATGTAGTGAAATAAATGTGTTTTCTCTATTTATCACTTAAATTATTCAGAGAACTACTTTCTCATGCTAGAGCTTTAATTGTTTAAAAAAAACAACTTTGGACAATATGTTGATAAATTGAATAGTATCCTATGGACTTCTCTTGCCTTCTGGTTGGTTTTAAAGACAACATTCCAAACTCTGCTGAGTCTTTCATCCAGTCTGAAGGGTTTTGTCAGAGGCAGCAGTAAGGCGGAGAGGCTTGCTGGTGCTTAAGCTACTTGGTTCACATCCAAAGTACCACAGTATTTGTGCCCACAAAATGTAGAGTGCAGCCCTCTCATTTTCAAAATGTCCAAAACCAATCAGAAATTGGGAGTAATCAATAGGAAGCTATTCAACATAGATCTTTAGTTTTATTAAAAATACCCATTTTTGTTCATACATTTGTATTTTTAATGTAATCTGTGATTGACTTTTCTGCTAAACAGTATGGAGAAGTGTCTTGTTTAATCATTTCCTCCAAGAAGAATGGAAGTGGTCTTGTGGAATTCCTATTACCAACTGCAGCAGTATGTACTTAAAGTGTTAAATTGTATTTGTTCATGTGTATTGTTCAATGTTTACAGTAAAATATAAGTAATTACAGTTCAAAACTATAAAGTAATATAGATGTTAATAATATCCTTCTACAATTTCTATTGCTCACTAGAAAAAATCAAAAGTTAGTAACAGTACTCAAAATCTTATCATCCGAAGAGCTAGTTCAGTTATAAGGCCATCATAAAAAAACTCAGTTTCATGTCGTTGTTGTGAACTGTCAGATTTTTATGTATGGATGAGCTGGATTCTTTACATTAGGTGTCTGTGACTTGTTGGTGATAAATTTCAACAATAAGAAAACAGCACACAGTTCATTTGTTTTAAAATATTATATGAAAATAAGTCAAACATATATACAAATATTGGTAAAACAGTTAATCACCACAGTTGTATCCAGAGCTTTAAGTAATCATCTCTTTCTGTCAAAATCCACACAGTTTCACCTTAGAAATTGCCACTATATTCTCTTTATGGCTAAATTCATAATCACACAGTCTAGATCTATCTCTCTATCTAACTAGCTTTCTTGAATCACATTTTGGACAGAAGTATAAAATGTTCCACATGCTACAAGATATTATGATGCAATAATACAACAAGCATCAATTCACAATAATTGAACTACAAAATGTATGATTTATACACAGTCAGGATTTTATGTATATGTGAGTGGGCTGAGGATTCTTCTGCACTAGGTGTCTATGACTTGTTGATGATAAATTTGGACAATATATGGACAGCACACTATCCATTTGTTTTCAAATGATATATTCAAAATAAGTCAAACATGTACAAAAATTCTTTACATAATAGGAAATCACAGTTTTATCTAAAACTCTAAGTAATACTCCCTTTTCTTTCGAAAAGTCTACTCAGGCTGATTCAGTTACTTTAGAATCCAGTTGACTGTACTTTCTGTACAATCTGTGATATATTCATTTACGTTACTCCATAGGTTACCACAGTTCTATCTCAAACTTTAAATAATTGTCTTCTTTTTTTCAAAGTCCACACCAATGGGATTAATTATTTTAGAACACCCTTTTACGAGACAAATTGTTCTCCTTATAGTTATTAAACTGTGAAACTCACTTTGAAATATTGCCTGTTATGGCTAATCACTCACATGACAGTTAACTTTTTTCTTACTGAACTTTTACTTTCACTTTTTTGTACTTTTTGAACTTGACTTGTGCTCGCTTGGTTGCCTACATATATATACCTTGTTCACTGACGCCTCGAACTTTCTATAAACTATGCAAGCGGCCATATAATGTAACAGTACTCAGTTAAGGTAACAAGAAAAACACAGAATGTTTAAATAAAGTGAAATCAGCAATATTAGTAAAGCCTAGACAACAATGTAATTGCAAACACAACATATGATTTGTACAGAGCTACTTAATGATATTTGTCACAATTTTTAAAACAATCCATCTTCAACACCCCTGTCTTAGAAACTAAAGAATCATTAAATATTAAATCATAAAATAAACTAAATATTAACACTTAGACTAAACAGTCTTGTATATCCAACATATGTAAACAAACCTGCAATAAACTGTCACTTCTAAAAATAACTAAATTTAACAGTCGTGTCAAACTTTTTTCACACATTTGGAAATAATTGGCACCATCCAAATTTATTTAATGGGCCATTCAACTGAGAGTTTTACTCTTTATATTCATACATGTATACATTTGTTAATATATCACTTTGGAAGTAGTGTATTATATACTCACTGCAGCAATATATATGTTATATTGTTTTGTCATTTTAGACTTTGAAGATAATAGCATTAGAAAATTAAGCATATCTAATTTAATGTGAAGAAGCCTAAATTATTTATTTATGTTTGAACCTTAGTTATAATGAATCTTTTTAAGGCTGTTACTTTTGGTTTGAATTATTGTTAAGCAATTATAACTATTAACATGTCCCTCAGGAGCCAAGCGGTGTTTTTACAGCACAGTATGTTGAATATTAAAAGTAAGTTCAATCTGGAAACTCCCAAAGAAGGTGGTTTTGAACGTATTTTTTTGAGACAAGTTTTCGTTTGTTAATTGATAAATGTTTAAGTGAAATGCAGAAATCCTCAAGTCTCCAAACTAGCTAGTACTAAGATCTACCTGCTGGGAGTAAATTCAGTACATATCAATAAAGCAACATTTTCAGCATCATTACTTAAGCAATTTCCAACTATTTATGCTTCTGCTGTTACCATTTTATGTGTAGCTTTCAATTGAGATACAAGTGATTTCACCTGCAATTCAATAGGGAAAGTCGAAGCATTATCATGGTAGTCAGCAGTCAGTGAGCAGACAGGAACACTTTGAAAGCAGCTACAGGCATTATATTGTACTTGGCTTGCTGCACAATATTTATCAAGGTGGTTCTAAACAGTTCCAGAATACTTCTGTGTATCATTTGGAGATTTCCATGTTTCATGTACTTGGTCGTTAATCTTGTGATGAGCTGACAAATTTTGGCCATTTTACCACTTCAAATCACTTTTTGCAGCTCCAACACTAAAAGAAATGCCTTCTTTTTAGCCAGTAAACATGTCCAACAAATTTTAGTTCAAATTAAGAAAACCTGGATTGGATAGTTTATTTCTTTGTCATCAAAAATGTCCCCCATTAGCTCATGAGGGACCTGTTAAAATAAATTGTTTAATGTCATGAATATTACATGTCTTGATAAATGGGAAAAAAGGGACATGGATTAGATGTGTGCAAGGTATTTCTAAATCATTCTGGAAATAGAATAGTAGTTGGTATTTACTTTAACCTTAAAACCAGTTAACTCTATTTTATACACTCAAATTGTACAATGATCTGCACTTATTTTTTTCAATCAGAGATAAAACAGGTTGCCCCTAGGGGCTTTCTTAACCATTTTCAAATATAATGGCATCATATCTTTCTTTTGATACAAACTTTCGTGCTGGAAAGTTAAGTCTTTAGCCTGTTCGAAATTTCATCTTTTTTTAGACCCAAATACAGCTTAGTTACTAAATTTAATAAATTACAGTGGAATACTATGGTATTAATGTAGTAATTTATGATTTT